TTTTTTTTTTTTTTTTTTTTTCCTGAACACAAATGCAGAGCAAGAGGTTATTATGGATTAGGATGAAGAGAGGTTTTGTTTGCCTTGTTTTTTGTTTTTGTGTATAGTTAGTGTTAAGATGGCAGGAATTGCCCCTGCCCCACCAGCCGGGTTAGATTGTAGGGATGGCGGGCAGAGCTGGTTCCAGGCCCGTGCTCTGCCTGCCTGGGAGCCCTACCAGAATATCCTGTCTTCCTCGGTAAGAGCTGTGGCAACATGCTGTTGTTGGATGGTGTCATCCAGTGTACAGAGGAAGGAGTTCTCCCACCAGGAGATGGCAGCCAGCCTGCGCCTCCCCTGCAGCCATCCCAGCCCATGCCAGGTGCTGACCATTGCGTGTGGGGATGGGGGTGCCCTGCAGGCTGTGGTGAAGCGTTCCTCTGGGGAGTCCGTGGTCCGGTGTGAGATTGACGAGGATGTCATTCAGGTCTCTAAGAAGTTCCTGCTGGGCCTGGCCGTGGGCTCCTCCAGCGCCAAGCTGACCCTATACATGGGCGACGGTTTTGAGTTCATGGAACAGAACCAGGGCACCTTCAATGTTATCCTCACAGACTCCTCAGACCCCATAGGCCCTGCCGAGAGTCTCTTCAAGGAATCCTATTACCTGGACCTCATCGAGGAGATGTGGCAGTTCTGTAGGTCGCTCTTCCCTTTGGTGGCCTATGCTTACTGCACTGTCCCCACCTTCCCCAGTGGCCAGGCAGTCTTCATGCTGGGCAGCAAAAATCTGAGCACCAACTTCTGGAAGCCCGTGCAGCAGCTGACACAGAAGCAGGTAGAACAGATGCAGCTGAAATACTACAACTGGGATGTGCACCAGGCAGCGTTTGTCCTGCCCGAGTGTGCTGCCGAGACCCAGGATGATGTAAGCTGAGCCCAGGTGCCACTGCCCAGGACGTTGGGCCAGGGAGCCTTCAGGACTCCTGGGCATGACCAAACCCTTTTGCCCTGCCTGTGTGCCCACCAAGCAAGTGTTACAAGCCCCAGAATGCTGCCCGATGGGCCCGGCTGGGCGGACGGTCTCTCAATGTGGTGTTCGGCCTCCAGGCTTATACCAGCTGTGTATAGCCAAAAACAAACAAAAAACCACAGGAATTACTGTTTGTAAGGTGATGGGAAGAATCCAGTAGGGAGAGAAAACCTGATGATGCAGGAGTGAGAAGGAAAAATTTGTGGAATGACATCCTTGAGAAGGCAAGAAAGGAATGGAATCTGGTCCATAAGTGGAGAGGTTGGACACCCTTCATGGCCGTAGAGACCATTTATTCTTATAAAAACACCATATGGGGACCCAGGTGGAATTAGTTCAGTAGTTTTGCTAGTAGGATCTTGTTGCTTTTTCTTGATTGCTTCTTGTTTACCTGTGAAATGAGAAGCAAGACATTAGCTAAGATTGCGGAAGGAAGAGAGGAAGAGACCTGGAGAGAGAGGAGAAGGTGTGACACAGTCATCGGAGAGTGAATGTTCTGGGAAATGTAGTATAATTTCCTGGCAGCACTGAGAGCCCACTTGAGGTTCCTGGTCATGATGAGTGCGTGCTTTTCCCATTCAAGTCCAGCTTTGGGGAACAGGTGTACAGTAGGCAACGAGTTTGATTTCACCAACTTGGGGGTTTCTCCCAAGTCAGTTCAGTGAAGCAAGACCAGGCTAAGAGAGTTTCAGGGTGTTTGCAAGAGAGCAGAGGACCAGGGACAGGAGCAGGGTGAGACAATAGGATCAGGAGAGTTAGACCTTAGTGGGGCTTGATAATTTTTGCAGTTGGGGTATTGGAGAGAGTAAACTGGAAAAATAGGAAGTGTTGGTTGGAGAATCCAATCTTTCTCACTGAGGAAGGAATTACAATAACCAGTACAGACAAGGTCTGAGATATGAGCATTGGAATGAGGGGCTGCGGCAATGTGGAGTTGCAAGGACAGGGTGGTGGAAGGATCACATGTGCATGTGGAAATCCCCAAGAATTATGTCAGGAGAGATGTCTTGGAGAGGTTAACAGTGAGGCAGGGCTTAAATCTTTAAGGAATGAGGGGTAGTGTCTCAGGAATGAGGAGATGGCTGCCAAATGAGATGACCAGAGGTAGGAGAGCAATCTGAAGAGGGGCAGGCTAAAAACCAAGAAACAGATGGAAGTGGTGAGTAGCTTTAGGAATTCAGTCATATCAGGATTTCTCACCCTCAACACCAAATTTTGGGCTGGATTTCTCTGTGTTGTGGGAGCTGTCCTGTGCATTGTAGGCATTGTAGGGTATTTAGCAGCATCCCTGGCCTCTACCCATGAGATGCCGGGGTTCTTTACCCACCTGTGACAACCAAATATGCCCAGACATTGTTAAATGCCCCTGGGGGCAAAATTGCCCTCATTTAAGAACCAGTGAGTTAGATGAATACTGAAAAAGCATTAGGGTCCCTGGTGTCCTTCCCTAAAGCTCTTTCTACGGAGTGCTGGGGATGCCATTCTAATCCAGATTAGAGCAGATTATGCAATGAGCAGGAGAAAAAACAAAGTGCCTCTCTTTCTAGGAGTTTGACTGTGAAGGGCTGGAGGATGAGAGCGCAGTAAGCGGAGGAGACTCTGGAGAACCAGAGATGATTTCCTTCTGTGGGTCAGATGGAGCCATAAACAGATTTAAATATTGATGAGGAGGATCCATGTGAGGGGAACAACTGACCTAGAGAAAAGAGCGGTCTGAAATGGGCTGTGGAATGGTTTGTAGATGTGGAGGAGTCAACGTTAGATCAGAGGAGCAGCATCTCCAAAGATCCAGGAGCAGCAGGTGGATGCTGCTGGTTTATGATTTGTTGGAGAGAAGCAGAGGGAGTTCTCATCCAACAGCTTCCATTTTCAGCTGCTGAGAGTGAAGAGAACAGTGAGTGCAGGGGCGGAGGTGGGGGGGAGTTGGCACGTTGAACCAGTTGTGAAATGGGAGACCAAGCTGGCTTGGAAAACCTAGGAAAAGTTCTAGGATGTCTGGGGAGTGGCGAGGGCCTGTGTGGGGCTAGCGACCTGAATTTACAACTAAACCAACCTGTGCTGCTGTGCTTTCTCTAGCATCACTCAGACACCACGAAAGCAGGTAGCAGGATTCAGCCCAAGTTAGGGCTTTGCTAGATGGTTGTGATGGAAAGAGCAGAATATTGGCAAGAGTGCTATTAAAATGATGAGCTGGGAAATGTAACTATACAAAAGGAGGGGAGGGAAAGAAATACAAATCTGCAGATTGGTTAGAAAATGTCACAGGGCCTCTGAGGTCATTGTGCAATTAGGACAGGATGTTAGTGGTGGTCAGAAAGGGGGATTCCTGAGTAAGTGATTCTGAAAAGGCAATTTGTCAAGTAATAACAGGGTCTAGGTTGGGACCACGGAAGTTAGTGCATGAAAGGGAGAACATCATTGGTGATAAGAAGTCAAGTTACTAAGGGGTCAAGGTGGCCCAGTCATGTCTGTGGATGCAGATGTCCTTCTGGATGAGGGAAAACTTGGAATGGAGAGGGAAATGTGAGCCAGGGGCCAGATTTTCTGTGGGCCGGGAGCGTCAGCTGGCAGGTAGGAGACGATAGGCTCTAGGAAACTCTGGGGTCATACTCTGCTTGCATGGACCTAAGGGGAACTATTTTCATCCCAAGAACATTGAGGACTAATGGTCTGGAAGCAACATATAGAATGAGGTGAATGTCAACCTTACTTTCTTGCCCCGAGTGTGAAAGGTATAAAAGAATAATCAGAGCCAGCTCCCCATACGTCTGCATATTTTTGTTTGCAGGCTTTGTTTCAGAGTGATTGATCAAGTTTTATTT